AGCTTTCGCCTGTTTTAGTGTAGAGTCGGTCCAAAATTTTGGTCGGGACATGTCCCTATGGTCCCTATGCAAACCTACGCCCACGCATCACAGACCAAAAACCAAAGATGAAAATACAGAAATATTTATAAATCTGACTGAACCTGTTTTACGAAAGATTACAAATATTATCTCTTCTTCACAAAGGCCAGATTTTATAGTATTTTTCATATTTTTACTTGTTTATATTCACAAGTTTCCATTCATTTTTTGCCTATTTGGTGTAATTATTTGAACTGGGCTTCAAGATGGCTGCTTCCTTCTGATACACCCGTTTGTTAAAGTGCACATCAAAATAAATAAATAAATAAAGTGCACATCTATGCTACCACCTCTGTAATTCACATATGGGATCAGAAATCCTCCTTTCCCCTCTACATGTAGAAATGGTCCGGTCCAAACACTAAAACCTCAGCTCCCTCAGACAATCAGTTCAATACGTTTAAGATTTGCAGATCTGGCTTCTTCCTCCCTGAGCGGCTGTTCAGCCCAGGTCAGCACAGGTCGTATTTCACTCCAAAAAAGTAAAAAAAAAAAACAATCCACTGGACTTTGTCTCCAAGTTTGAAGACGTTTCCACCCAGAAAGATTTTTCAGTTCAAAATGTCAGAAATAGTGTTGGAATCCAGGTTTTATCCAGCAGCCCAACAAAGCCTGGTTTTTGTTTTGAAAACACGCAAATTGAACCCGACGAGCGAATTTAGGTGTTCAGACTGACGTATACCTAACTGGCCTGCATAGGATAATGAAAAAAACTGATTTTAAGACAGAATTTATTTTTATATAGCAATTTCTGATGAAGAATAGATTTATATACATGTTTAAGCCAGAATGATTTGACATTTAAATTTGATTTCCCTACAACTTTAAGTTTAAGTAGTTAAGATTATATACAAATAAAAACCAAGATATAAATGATTGTTTGGTTTAAAATACATACTGTACACTAAAGTCTACGAGCAGATGATGATGAGAAACAAGGAAAAACTAGATTAAACATCAAACATCAGCAATGTGTCCAGATAATGAGACAGACTGATTAATAACGATGATAGAAGAGAAACCGAATGGCTGCTGCCTCTCTGGGCCACAAAGTGTCTCCGTTGGGCCAACGTCGGAGTCAAACCAGAGAAAACAACAGTCATGTGATGTTTCTGCTGCCTATCAGGAGGATTTAATTAGTCAGACTGTGAGCTTCTGAGACCATCCAGCAGTCCTGCAGACCAAGAGTTGGATATGAAATAAAGCAATTACCCAGTTCAGCCACGCAGACAGCCAGAGGGCATCAATCAGTTTATTTGCTGTGGCGCACGTCAAAGCTGTTCTCACCGTCACTTCTAACCTTTTAGCTAAACATGGATCCGATGAAGCTGCGGAGGCCCATAGAGCCGTCCGTTCAGGGGGGGGCGGGCTGGATTCAGGGCCTTTTTCTATGGATTTATCTCAGATTCAGGGAGACACACGACACCGAGCGGCCGACCTGATATGACTCCGTCACTCAGATTAGCCATCAGCTCTTTCTCTGGATATTAAATGAATAAATCATTTAAAGCAAATGAATAAAATGATGCTGGCGGCTCAGATAGTCCCTCCAGCTGTTGTTTGGTAGCTGCAGCAGGAAGCTGGAGCCCATTCTCCACCTCGGAGCCTCCTGCACTGCAAAAATGTCTTTAATTAAGTGTATTTACCCTAATTTGAGTAGGTAAATAAGATGTTCTGCCAATGTAATGAGTATTTTTACTGTTAAAATAAGATACCCTGATAAAATCCACTTGAAATAAGACAATGCAATTGTGTGTTTTAAGTGTAAATTGTCTTGTTCCATTTGCAGTCATGACCAAATGCACTTTATTTTAAGAAAAAATGAACTATCTAGATTTTGATTTTTTTTCACTACGTTTTGGATTCTTCTGTTTGCACTGGAAAAAAATCAAAGTCTCAATAAGTCATTTTTTCTTAAAATAAGTTTATTTGTTCTTGGGTTGAGAAGGTAAACGTTATATGTTGCCAATGGAACAAGAAAAAGACAATTTATCTTTAAAATAATGGAACACAATAACATTGTCTTATTTCAAGTGCATTTTATCTAATTATCTAATTTTAAGAGTAAAAATATTCATCCTATTGCCAAACTATCTCATTTACCTACTCAAATTAAGGGTATATACACTTAATTTAAGAAATTTTCACTTATTTCTAAATCGTTTTTCCAGTGTGTGGTCTCTGTTCTCACACAATTCATGTGTTTAGGTTCTTCGCTGAGCCTCATCATCATCTCCCTCCAATATTTACATCCTTTATATCAGCAGCCTGCTAATAGAACAGATTTACCCTGAATGTGACGTTTACTGACAGCATTTCTGGAGCCTCTCTGCTCCCATGCTGCGTTCATGTGCACAGGAAAGAGTAGGAAATCTTATGCAGTCAGAAAGGGGTCAAAATGTTTTTAAACTTCTAAATCTTAGTTGAAACTGAAAAAAAATAGAAGTTGGAGGGTTGGAAGTTGGTAAGTGTAAAAAAAAAAAATTGCTTTTTCAGAAACTGAAAAAGCAATTTT